CAAATAACCTCACATGCAGACCAAAACATGTAGTTTGCCGACGCCAACTGTGCCAACAACGCCACAAGTGCCAAGAATGTCATGAATCTTAAGTGCCAACGACGCCACAAGTGCGAATGAATGCTGGCCCTGCTGGCCCTGTCCGGTGATCAGTCCAATGGCGATGTCTCACTGGCTGTGGAATCAGCCCTCTGAACCACCGGTTCACCCCGAAGGAGATTCAAGAGGGTGCCTCAGTCATGGAAAAGTGTCGGAGCGCCAAAGATTCATCACTTCACTCGAGCCGGCCACAGCCCACCCTTGCCCTAGCAAGCTCTCTTATACAAAAGTGTGTTGCAAATAGCCTCACATGCAGACCAAAACTGGCAGCTTGCCGACGCCAACTGCGCCGACAAAGATAGAAGTGCCAAGAATGTCATACGTCTCAAGTGCCAACGACGCCGCCAGTTCCAATGAATGACACAACAAATACTACATATGCAAAGCAAGCTGGCCCTGTCTAGCGATCAGTCCAATCGATGTGTTTTTAACCACCGGTTCACCCCGAAGGTGATTTCAATGGGTGCTGTATAGGCCCCCCAGTGTCCATCCGGCAGCTTACTTTGCACTGACATGCTGGGCAATCTGCACGAATGGATGCCGAGATCTCACTTGCTACATTTTATTCCGCCAAGAGGAAACTCGCTTTAGGAAGGCCCGAGAGGGTGCTTAAAACCACACAAAGGGGGGATATAGGAAACATCCAATGTCTCCTGAAAATTCCAAATTCCCCCTCCGCCCCACGTTGCCAGCCTGCCCTACCGAAACCTTCGCCAGGCCGTCGCGACCCCGCAAAGCGCCGGAGCGCCTGGGGCAAACACCCAGGTCTCAACTCCAAGGAACCGCGTGGGATCAGGACCATGCAGTGGCCTTTAGTAAATCTATCCAGCCCCCTGTACTAGTGTGCTTTCCCCATCAGCAAATGGCCCAACACCGGGGAGTCGTGGTGGCTTCCTGAAAGAACGATGAGGGGAAAAGGAATGAATGAGGCAACCTGTAGCAAAGTGGTACAGTGGTTGGTTTTCTTTGGTTGCCCTTTAAGAAAAAGCAAAGAGGGTTTCTTATTTTGGTGCACAAACTCGGATACGTGGTTGTGGCAAATGGGGTAATTTCGAACCTAATGACATCTTTGTCACTTAGGCACCAAGGAGGGTCAAGAGTATCACAAGTGGCCAACTAAGACCCAACTTTCCATGGAGAGCCAAGGCAAAACGCTGAACCGGCGAGACTTACTGACTAGCGGACCGAGCACTGATTCAAACTTCGATTGATTTGCCAACTAGTGTTTAGTCGGCTCTTCCAACCTTGTTTCCCTGTTGTACTTCTGTCTTGGTTTTTGTCCATCACTGCATTGTTTCGGATCTTGCCTCCAGACAGAACGCGCCCTCCGTTCCAACCTTCGCACCTCGCGGAAGTCGTCGAGATCCTTTGGGCTGCACAGCGTCATCTCAAGCCGAGCGAGGTCATGAGGCAACCAGCGATGCGGTGATCGACGCTTGAGTTTGCTGAGAAGCCTTGACCTCTTCAAAGTTGTTGAGGACGTCTGAAAGCCCTGCCTGTGTTTTCAACATCAAGGCTAAGGTCTATCCGGCCTATGTACCCCGGCAACACACACTTAGTGGAGCATGAGTTTGCTTTCCTTTCTTGGGGGGTTGTCAGATTGGTAAACCTTTGGTGTCTAATCTTCAAGGAGCCGTAAAAGCATCGCCCATGAACGACTCGGCAAAAATTGGAGCAGCAAGCGCAAGCTGACTGAAATTGTCAGTTTCCTGGCGTTTCGCCAAACCCCAGAGCACAACGGATCTGAACGGGTAGCTCGCAAACTACAACTAAGGAATCGGGATCTGTGTCCTTGTGGACAGAAAGCCTTCATCTCTGGAATCAACAGTCCACGCACGCGCAGAGGTTACGCGTTGAATAAGACGAGCTGCAAGGGACAAGGTACTAGACAAGCAGCCCACAAGGAAATATGAACATGCCAAATTTGTCAACGCACACCTGCAGCCTGGCAGATCCTGCTGACGCTTTTTTCTGCACGCCTTTTTGCCGGGCAGGTGACAGCCAGAGGGACGCAGAGGGATGGAGGCTGCTTCCACACAGAAAACCTGGAACCCCTTCAACCAAAAACATCTTTTCAGGCGAACGAAAAGGAAGATGGATCCTGAATCCATGGCACAGCCCCAGTCTCGCCCTGCAAGGGCGATCGCGCTTTGGCAAGGCCCTCAGGAAAATGAGCCAACTCACTGCACGGTGCACGGCGCCGGCCTTGGGAGCGAAAACGAAAGCACCTCGCCAGTTTTGGCCCACAAAATTGATACCGCCCTCCAAGCACCGATCCATCGTTTGGTCTATGTCAGTCCTCCTCGAGCTTTCGGTGTGTTTGGGGTGTCGGGTCTACAACTGAATTCAGGACAAGGCCCAGGGAGATCTGACCTGAACAGTGACAAGTGGCCTTTCCCTCAAGTTCTTCTCATTTCACGGTGAGGGGGTGTAGAGGCTACGAGGTAAGGAGACGGCGATATTACGGGCAGAGCGGAAAAATGCTTGCACGCTCCTAATCATTTCCGCATTCTGTCCAATGGCCATGGGTCAAAACCCGTACCTCCAGTGAACATCCCAATCCCCACTAAAGTAGACTACAATGGGTGGTGCACCTACCCCAGAATGATACCAATGGTTTTGACCCACAGCCAAATGTTCTTGGCCAACCTTTCCTCCAATCCATGGCCGTCCCGCACAAGGCAGCCCTCAAGCGCGATCCGAGATCCGGGGCCTGGCTTCCCGCAGGGCTTGCGCGATAAAGGCGTCCGCGTGGCTGCAGCACCTCAGAACCAAAACCTCTCGGCCCGACTCAGCCCTCACTTCAGGAACCGGATCCCGGATCCCCCAGTACTAGCCGAGCTTTGATCCCTGAGAGGTGAAACAAACTAGAGACATGTTTGAGCAGGTTGCAGTGCCCCCGGACTTGTTCAAAAAGGTAGTGGAACACCGATGCAAGACGGGAAAGCGGGAAGCCGCGCAATTTGGCAGAAGGCTGCAGGGTTGATTGAACCTAAACACCCAGTTTGCTTGTATGGAATAACCATCGATCCCTTGTCTTGATTGGAGCTTTGCAGTCAACTGACTCGCAATCAATGGCAGTCAAGGGTTTCGCCCAACACCCATGGTACAGAACTCAAAGGCCCGGCTGCTGGGCACTTGGAAAGAGGGCCTTCTTTGGATCGCTGGGTCCCAGGCTGACTGAGGATCTTCAAGGCATGAAAGTCCACCGAGATGTTTCGCACCTGCCACTCTTTGGGTGCAAGTAGTCGTTTCAGGTTTGATCATTCCTTCAGCAACAGTCCGTACCATCTGCCTGGTGGTCTGGTTTGGTCTGGGTGCCTGCCGTGATTGGGTGCCGGGTGCCTGCGAACCTCTGCCTACCGTAGTGGTGGTTGGTTGGTTGGTCGGTCGGTCGGTCGGTCGGTTGGTCGGTCAGTCGGCCGGTTGGTTGGTGGGTTGGGTGGGTGGTTGGGTGGGTGGTTGGGTGGGTGGGTGGGTGGGTGGGTGGGTGGCTGGCTGGCTGGCTGGCTGGCTGGCTGGCTGGCTGGCTGGGTGGCTGGGTGGCTGGGTGGCTGGGTGGGTGGGTGGCTGGGTGGCTGGGTGGCTGGGTGGCTGGGTGGCTGGGTGGCTTGGTGGCTGGGTGGCTGGGTGGGGGGGTTGCTTGGCTGGGTGGGTTGGTTGGTCGGCTGCTGGGCCACTGAACCCACTGCGACGAAAGTCGCCCAGTTGAATCCAATGGGGACCACCATCTATGCAACCTTTCCTTGCACTTTCATTCTGGACAACAGATTGAGCTCCGACATCAAAGCCCTGTGGTAGCCTTTTCCAATTATGCCTCACCCCGTTTCTCAACCCTCGCGACAGTGTTCGGCAACAGTGCTTCCCTGAAGCCTGTAACAAACAAGTGCCATGATGCAGAGAGCGGTTTCAGGGAGGGAGCGACAATCACACTCAGGCGTTCATTAAACATGGAAGCGCTGCCCCTGAGTGTACTTTTGAAAACCTAGACATAGAGGGGATGGCACTTTTGAAAGATTGGAACCAATCGTTTGACAGGTGCCATGCCATAGGTGCCATCTATGTTCAACATGGTCATGAAAGGACACGTATGCTGAAGGCTCTTTCCAAGTGCCTGTCATGGGTCCTTGAGATGGCTATCCAACAACCCCCACCGAGGGTTGACGACCAGCCCCACTAATCCCAAGCACCTCTTTTGATGACACACGAGGCCTGGGCACTGTTCGAGGCCATTCTCCCCGCCTCTTGCTCAACGCCCAGCACACCGCTGTGGTAATTCTCGATGAAATGCACCTATGGTGAAGCTATGAGAAGCTGGTTAGGGGTGTTAGCCAGAGTTTGGGACCCCCAATGGCTTCAAGCTGTATAGCCAGCAGCTGACACTACCACCATACACCGCTTGGACCGTCACCCCGAAAAAAAAACCGATCGCGGTCCGGTGCTCATGAGATTTTCAGCCAGTGGGTATGGTTTCGCGTGGGCTACAACCCACCTCAAAGGTTTCTCCCCCAGACATCAAAAAGCCGAGCATTGGCGGGCATTGTTGTTTGGCCTGTACACCCACAAAACCTCCAAGTTCTTTGTATAATTGTTTAATCCCCAGTTTCAGCTGCCCCCCCCTTCTGTACATGATTTGTCCTTTCTACCTACTATTTATTGTGTCCCATTACCCCATCCTTCCAAACATTGACTGGGAGGTCCGGTTTGTTGTTGCTGGCAGCGCCTGAGAATATTTGATGTCTGGCTGCGTGGCTGTATTCACATCTCGCTGCGCGGTCCCACGTGCAAAGCTCTCCTGCTGTGCCACATCACATTTCATGTTAGGGCCGCTGGGACGGCGTAAAGTTCATCTACAAATGGAAGACCCCATGAATGATTGGGCAAATCTGGAATCCCTCGATTCAGGACCGCGCCCCAGTTCGAGGAACGTCCAGCTTCACGCAGACGTCCTCGATTTTGCGATCCAAGACCTGCAGAAAACGCGACAAAGGCCCAATGGGTTTCCTTGTGGCAAGCGCGGGGGATTGTTACAGGCATAGTTCCCCTTACAGATCTCGGCACATGAGCAGATGGACTCAAAGGCATGGGCACCTTCTGCAAGGGGACTCAAGTTACCCGTGAGGACGTGCTTCCTCTGAAGGGGGCTATTATCTGATCGGATGGGACCCTGAATTAACAAGCAAAAAAACAACAGCGGCCCAATCTGCAAGGTGGGTGCCCCCTGGGTTCCCTCACTTTGACGCCGAACTCCCAACCCCCCCATCAACTCATCAACCCGCCTGGCGCAGCATGAGCTCGCGGTCCGCCAGGTTCGCCTTGCCGGTCTTCACAATGCCCTCCTGCCGGTTCTTGGCGGAGAGCTGGGTGTGCCTGATAAAATTGGTATCCTTGGGGTGGTTTTGAGGGTAAAGCGAAGGGAAACCATCCTTTTTGGGGCTTCCCCATTTAGAAACAAGCCCAGCTCGCGTGTGCGCAGCCGGAGTCTAGCAGCACCTCATATATGTTAGGGGCACTATCCCATTATTTTAGGGTCATTTGAATGAAGGTCCAAGCAGAGCCTAGCCGTACCCTCCAGTTGGCTACCCTGATTTGGCTTCCGGTGGTTTCCACCCTCAGGACTTGTACATACATAGCCATCCCCTCCTTTCGCACTCTGGTCAAGGATCCTTCTCTTCAAACAAATGTGCGCAAACCCTGGCAAGAATGAGCCCAAGCAAGCGCCCCCCCCCAACTGGTGGGGAAAATGTATTTCTCATCAGGCCAGCAAAACCTTTCCATAACCGACTCCCCTTTTTCCCAGGGTAGTACAATGGAAAAGGGCCCCTTTTTTGGCGGAGCCCCCTCATCACCTTGGCGGTGGAGGATGTGCCCTTTCAACAGCTCGAATCTGAAGGAAGGCCCGGGAGTTGGAAGTTTCACCCCGCCCCCTTTCGGTGTCCCTTGTCAGCCCCAAACTCTGCAACCCGGTTCAACGCCGGGTTGGATCATGCGAAAACCAGCAGCGACCCGACTCAAAAGGAAGCGTACCGACGTCAGTTGGCAAGCAAAAGGCCTTCAAGCCCCCGAAAGGCAAAAATGCAGGGACCCTGTATCATACCCTGGAAAAAGTGGGTGTCGAGAGTAGACAACTGGGGAAGCCTAGCAGTTGGTTCGGCTGACGGGCAGTTGGCTTCACATGCCCCTTCCTCCACACGGTCGATGCGGGTCAGCACGACCTGCGCGTGCGGGCAGAAAATAGCCTCAACAACGGTATCTTTTTTTGAGGGTGCCCTTGTGGTGTGGGTTTAAAGGGAAACCCGAAAAAAGACCCTAGTCACAGAAAAACATTGGTCCAGCTATGTCCAGCTTATAGGCATTGATGCCCAATGCTGTTCGACCCTTGTTGTTTCCAGAAGCCAGTTCTCTCCGGTTTCCGGAATGAATGGGGAAGCAAGCACTTAGCAAAATGACAGCGGACACATGCCACAAGGACCCAGTTTCTATTCAGAAGCTGACAGGCTTAACGGGTGCGTGCAAGCGTTGGCTCACTTCGCTGGCGTCCACCAGGGCGCTGTGATTTGACCATGGCTCACTGTGTAAAGAACCGGCTTTGGTTTGAGATCCCCAACAACCGGGCGGCGCATCGGGGGAATTTGTAGGGCTTGCAGCCGTTCAGTACAGCTGCGCGCACGCAGCTTTTTCCATGGGCGAAGGTGCCGCACCTGGGCCGAAAGCCGAAGCCAAAAGCGGTTCCTCCCATTTGACCGGTCCCGATCGCAAGGCAAAGTTGGTCCCTGATTTTCGGCGTAGGCATCCACAGTACCAGAGGGTCCTTTTGCGGGCTCTGGCAACAGCCATCCACCCGTCAGCCGAGCGTAGATCCGTTTTCTGGCCCGGTATACTCATTTTGGGGTTGGCTTACAAAACCTCGAGCCAAAGACCCCGGCCTCTCAAGCGCATCCAGGCAGCTCTGCGTGAGGTGCAAGCCCTTGGCGAGCCACTCAGAAGAGACATGGGTTTGTCATGAGATAGGAGAGCCCCAAACGGCTTGACATGGTGCTTGTGTTTCTATGGTGTCCTTCAACCCCCCACCAAACAAAAGAACTCTCAAGAAAAGACACACCCCATCGGGCAGCAAGTTGAATTGAAAATGGGCGATGTGACCAAGCATGTTTTGAACAAATGTGGGGGACTTCCGACCGGCCAACATCTTGGCAAAGTTGGCTTGGACCCTGCTAGCCATCCCTCCTGTTCCCCATGGCGCTGGAAAACACTACCCAACAGAAGTTTGCAGCTTGTCGCATAGGCTGTTCACCCCCCCCCCCCCCCGTGTTGGATTGTTGGGAATGGTCCCAACCCACCTTTATCCACATGTATCCCTTGTTTTTCTTTTTTCTTCGGATATCTTCAACCCTCCAACCCTTCACAGACTCCTAGCTCACCCAGGAAAGCACGCAACAGTGTGCCAGTCCAAACACGAACCAAGATACAAGCCTTACACGGAAATCACTTCTTCTCGAACTTTCTGGGCACCAACCTACCGCCAAACCTCAAAACGGCCGAAGTTGGGACCGACCCATCGCAATTTTCTGCGCCTCGGCCTGCAGCCTTCGCGCCTCACCATGGCCCATGGCCCATGGCCCCACCCGGGGGAGTGACGGTGGCGCTGTGATTAGGATGTGTTTGCTATGGGAAAAGGTTTGGAGGGGACCATCCTTTTTCTCGGGGAACATCTCTATCTGACTGTTTTTCAAACTGGGGGTCGCTAAAGACGAGTGGTTGCTGGAGCAATGAGGTACTCTGCCACATGGAAGCAAATACTGAAACCCAGCTTACAACATTGCATGGAATCCGAGACACATGGAAACCCTCTCCCACGTTTTGCCATCATCTCTTGCCTTCCGTCTTCCTTGGTGCTCACTGGATTTCCGAGCCCTGACCAACGCTGCCGTGCGCCTCCTCCAGGAAGCGGTTGCCAAACTCAGGCACCTGCAGGGCTTCGCCATGGGGCTCCGTGCTGACTCGGTACCCTTGGGGTTGGAATCCCTCTGAGATTGGACACACCCATACGTGACATATGCGTGACGGGCTGTTTGCCATGTGGCAAAAAACTGCGGGGTTGACGGCTAAAGACTGAGTTGGTTGCTGGAGCAATGAGGTACTCTGCTCACATGGAAGCAAATACTGAAACCCAGCTTACAACATTGCATGGAATCCGAGACACATGGAAACCCTCTCCCACGTTTTGCCATCATCTCTTGCCTTCCGTCTTCCTTGGTGCTCACTGGATTTCCGAGCCCTGACCAACGCTGCCGTGGCCCCCCAAAAGCGTCCAAACTCATCACTGCAGGCTTGAATGGGGCCCGGTGCCGGACCTCGGCGGAATCCTGAAAAAAGTGCGTGCTGTGCGTGTGTGCGTGCGTGCGTGCGGGCGCGGGGCGGGCGGGCGGAACGGGGCGAGCGGGGGGGTGGGCGGCTGGGCGCAAGCGCGTGAGCGCGCGCGCGCGCGCGCGCGCGTGCGTGCGTGCGTATGTGCGTGCGTGTGTGTCAAAGGCCTGGAAGCACACGAGGAAACTCCCCGATTGGTGCAAAAAGTGTTGTTCAAGCTTGCCAAAACATAGGAAATAGAAAAAAGAACCCTGGACCCCAACAATATGTTGGTCCTTTTGGTTTCCGCTTCCTCTCAGCGATCCCCCTTTTGACGGCACCTCTGCGCAGGCGGTCTTCAGGTCAGGCGGACACCTGCGAATCACTTCCAATCCGTTGCGATCTCTCTGCGCAAGGGATATGCCAAAGATATGTTTTTCAGACATGTGCGTCCATATTTTGTCTTAAGATATATAACACTTTTCTGAGACCCCAGCGTTGTTAGGAGTTGGTGGCAAAAATGGTGTGGGTTTCTTGGCAAATGAGTAGTCTCCCTGTCCTTTGCGGCAACACGTCTCCCACGTCCCTCCCGAGTTGACCATAGGCAGCTGGATTCATGTTGCTATGCTGGTGATTTTCTTGTCGGGGCTGGCTTCAACGGAAACCAACAGGAAACCACGCATGTGTGGCTTCTGTCTATTTTGAGATAGGTCCATCTAAAACTTTTTGTTTGAAATTTCACGATGAATCCTTGCAACATGTTTCGCTACTTTGTCCTATCCTGCATGCAGCCCAGTTGCGGAAGTAGTGCGATGTCCTCCAATGCAGCAACTGGCTCTCATCCCGGCGGGTCCGTTGATAAACAAAAAACTGCCTCCTGCTGTAGTTACAGGGTGTTAAATCCTTGGTTACAAAGTCTAGAACTGAAGCTTGAGCAAAAAGTGTGACAATGTGTGTGTGTGTGTGTATTTGTACCCATGCCAGCGAATATGTATATATATATATATATGATTTATCAGCCTGTGACGGGCCCCTTTGTTTTGGTTTTGACGAACCCTAAGCCGCCCAACAGGGTCCCTGGCCCTGACACCCATCTCCCAGCCAACAAACCCGGCCCAAATACCCACAGCTCGAAGCTCCTGCGGGAGGTGCTGTCTGAAGCTGTGGGCCAGCCTCCGGCTGAGGTAAGCACCTGAGGCGGCCGACAATTTTTTTGGAGGGGTCTGTTCAGAATCCCCAGACGTCCACCCCGGATTCAAATGGCTGTGGGTCAAAACCCTGTACCCCTGGCGAACATCAAAGTAGGTGGTACATGGGTGTTCATCCGCCCCAAAATGGAGGCATAGGTCATGACCCATGGCCAAATAGAACCGAAGGATCGGGACACCCCATCCAACTAAAGGATGGCCGTGTCCCCCTCTGCGGGTGTTGCTCATTGGGAAACCCGGCAGGTTAGGTGATGATTGTGAATCTGACTCGACAAGAAACCCATGGAACAACAGGGTTATATACCTAGCCCACCGTCGGTATGATGGATAGACGTCACCGCTGTGCCACTGCGGGGTTTCAGCTTGTTACCGTCCTACAAAAACAGAGAAAAAAGACAGCGGCGCGGCTGCGCCGACGGCAGCAGCAACAGCAACAGTACCGGGGAACAGCACTAGCCAAGCACAACAGCAGCAGCGGCAACAGCAACAGCATCAACAAAAGCAGGAACATGAGCAGCAGGCAGCAAACACCGTGCTCGGCTGCTCGAGCCACAATGTGCAACGAATTAATCAAAATCTGATGTACAATGGAATCGCAACAAAAATCGGAAAATACAGCCTTAACCAATGCATTTAAACAACTGCCCACATCCCCCATGTGATCGCAAGAAACGAGACGGCTCCATCAAGCTTCATAGCAGGCCCCTCCATCCTCTGCCCCATCACGCGGATACTATCCAGTCCCCATGTTGCACCACTGGAAACAGCTCTTCTGTGCTTCAAGGTAGTCAATCCTCACTGAATGGGATGGCACCTGGTTTCATATGATAGAAGGAGCTGAATACTAGAGGAGATCCAGAAAACGAGTGTGGCCATCATACAATGAAAAAAAGGTCCCTACAGTTCGTGAAGAAGTAGCAAGGGAATGGTTATCGCCCACGTTGCCTCAGTGGTTTGGACAATCTTCCGAGGACCTGCATGTGAGCCACTTTCAAAATCCCTTGCTTCCCTGAGTTGACAACTTCTTCCTGGGTGCTGTGGGAAATCTTGTTGTCTCCAAGCTTTGTCTCACAGTAGACCAACAATTCAACAATGCTACTATGTTCCCCTCGCAGAGAAACTAAAGTAAAACTGGGGTTCCCGTATTTCCCCGAAAAAACACCCAGCGCTCCTTGGACCAAAACGGCGCTTCGGTGGTGGCCTCACGTTTTTTGGGTTTCCCGGCGGCTCACCAGAACCAGGAGGAAGGGGCGCTGCACCCAAGCCTTCATGGGCAAACGTGGGACGTCCCTCCCAGGGCTTAAGAAACGCCCCAAATAGGAAACAGGACGAAACGTGTTGAACCTTGAACCCCCACTGTGCCACTTTGGAAGGCAAGAGACACCGCGTTTCTTGAAGGGCCAGTGGCGGTTCTTCCTCTTGCTGGTTTTCAAGCGTGCGAGGGTCGTGAGTGGATCGGTAGATCAACCCACTTGACACAGAAATGGCCAACCACTTTCAGTGAGTCCTTCCAAAGAAACCCCGCCTCGATCTGCGCCAAAATGCTGGACACCACCTCTCCTCGCAGATAAAAATCCGAAACTGGCCCACCTTCCGGGGAAGAGCTGGGAAGTGGAGCTTCACACTTGGCAAGTGGGCTCATTTTCAGGCGACAGAGCGGGGGAATCCGGAGTCCGATTGGCCCTGACAGGCGTCTGGTTCACCTCAGGGGCTCGCCCATTGAAACACTACATGTCCCATGGTCGGAACTCATGTGGGCCGTGTTGCCTGAAAAACGGGATCCTTTTGCGTTTTCTAGATTTCCAGGGGATGATCATCACCCAAGCACGAGAGTCTTCGGTCAACCAGAAAGCCAAGCAAGTTGAAAAGGCAAGCTAGGTCTGGCAATGTAAGCCTCAAATTCATAGTGGACTCCGGTTTGGATGATTTTCAGCATAGCAAGTGTCCCGAGCACGTGCAACCCCAGACAATTCTGGGCTTCCTGTTGGCGGAACGAGGGGCGGAACCGCCCGTGACAAGTCCCCTCCTGTCACCAAGGCGTCCACGTCCAGCGCCATCGCCGTGAAGGGAACCCTCGGTCTCCAGGAAGCCGCCTCAAACGAATTCTTTAGGTACCCAACTGCCCCCCCAGATAGGTTTCCGGATCCAAGACGGAACCTCGCCCCAAGAGGCCTTCAAAAAGGCTTGTGGCAAAAACGGCGGATGGACCAGATCCACTTCGCACCAGGTGATAGTTTATCAACCAGTATTCACAGGGCTTTGTCCATCCACAGTATGTTTACGGGTGTTACTCAAAGCAGAAACAAACTGGGATGTTGTCTTTTGGTTTCCCAAAAAAGCCACCAAAAGGTGGTCCAGGATTTTGAGAGCCCCCCCATACGGGCAATTTCTACAGTACCAAGTTGTACCCATGTTCTGAAATTGCTGCAAGGCCCTGCTTGCGAATGCCTGTCCCACCAGCGGAAAATCTCGCAACGACACATCCCAAAGAGCGTTTGCGAACCCGCAAGGCACCATGTTTGGATGGCTGTGTAAAAAAGAGAGGGAATCCGGCAGCCCAACAAAGCAAGCATGCGACCGCAGGAAGCCCACCAAAAGCCAGACTTGGTTGTCTTAAAGGAGAACCTAGCGTATGGATTTGGTTTCCCCTCAAAAACCAAAAGGGGCGACCCGCAAATAACACCCCCCCCCCTTGCCTGCTGCCCAGCAAGAACCAGGCGGCAGGCTCCCACCGCTTCGATCACCTGAGGACCCAAATCTCAGCGAAACGTGTGGGGTGTCTGCCTTTTGATTGGAAAACCAGTTCAATGTACATAATTTGCATGGAATTTGCGCTCCACCAACCATGATTCTATGTCCACAAACCATGATTTTCTGCCTACCAACCAGTTTGGAGATAGTTCCCTACTCCCTATCACATGTCATAGCCACGTGAGGCCCAATCCCCGCAAGACAAATGAGACAGATGTACGGTGCAGTCTGAAAGTCCAATACATTTGAAACCAGGTGAGGTTAGTCCTGGCCCAAGGGGAGCACCCCTGGGTTGAATTCTATCTTCGGGTTGTCTGCAAATGGAACCCGGTTTTTTTCAACGCAGATCGACCCCCTCGCCAGCCTGACCACATCGATCCTCCACCTGGGCATATCTCAGACACTGAACCCCCTCTATTTTCAAACAAACTGGACATACTAGGAACTGACTGGAGGGTATAGGTCCAGTAACCCTCCCTCCATTGGACATCCCCCACACCCAATACCCCCCTCCATGTTTTCCCACCTGGCTCCATGGCTCCATGGCTCCAAGTTCCGGGCGTCGCCCCACGCGAGCACCACCGCCGGCCCGGAGCCCAGGAGCCTCTGCACCTCGGAAACATCGGACGGACGGGGCACAGATCTCCCGCCTCCCCGAAGACAGAAAAGGGTGGGGGACGTTTCGTGGTTGTCTTGTAATTTATGAAGGCCTGGGCGTGTTTAAGAAGGAAACCAAAGGAAAGCCGATGCCAGTTTTGCGGGGTGCCGCAAAGAGGACATGGGGTGAAGGGTTGTCTGCTCATGTCACATGCGGACTTCTCTCCAAACGGGGGGGGGGGGGGTCTCCTGTAAAGTCCACCTTTTTTACACATCCAAAATTGGGTAACCTCGCAAAAAGCCACGCCCATGATTGAACAAGTGCCCGCTTCTTTCTCCGTTGGTTGGCATTCAGAGGTGGGCCTACCTCTCTTGAAACCAAAAAAAAAGGCGCAAGCTTGGCGCAATGGCCAGGATTCATTGGTCCTTGACCCACAGTACCTCCCGGGCTCAATGTGGGAATCCGCCAAGAGCCAATCGCAAGCTCCGCCCAGAAACAAGTGCCAACCTTGGAATGCACTATTTCACTTTGCACACGCCTCCAAAAGGAAGCTCGCTCCAAATCAAGCGTCATTTCCGAAAAGTGATGAACAAACCAGCCTCTAAGCGGAACCAAACATGGGTATGGCTTGACATATGGGGCGGATTTTTGAGTGGCCTTGGATACGACAAAAGCAAAACACACATTCCCTGGGTGGTCTCTACTTGTGAGACATGCTCAATCATGGAAGTTGACAGGATAATTTTGGAAGACTGCAGTCCTCTTGAAAAGGTATCTGACTTGGGAAGACTGGACAAGTACATATTTTATGGCGATCCCCTTATTTTGACATCCATAAATTGAAGGCCCGTGCCAAATGTTTGCTTACGTCCGGATTTCCCCTTGTAAACAAGCCCAAAAAGGTACCCTCCAATCTACACACAAGCACACCAATCATGGAGAAACCCCTTCCACAATTCTCGAAACTCGAAACCCCGGCAGGATCTGCCTTGGTAAAGGAAGGCATCGGCTCAGAGATGCCCTTCACGACCTCGCGAGCCGGCGCTATGGCTCAGTTTGCTTCCGAAGGGGGAAACCAAAGTGGTCATTTGGCTGTGGCTCAAAAACCGGTACCAAAATGGAACCCTGGTAAGTGGAAACATGGACCAAATCCCGCGTAACCCCTCCTGTTTAATTTTGAGCCACAGCCATTTCCCCCTTGGCTTCCCATTGAAACCAGCGTAGAAAATTGGTGAATGTTTGGGGAAACTTGGCACTCAAACTGGGGGCCTCTGGCAAAATCGGAAAAGATGCTCCATCGACTGTTGGTGTCATTCACGGGAAATGAACATTGTACAGCCACCTTAGCACCCCAGCAAGTCCAAGGTGGTTTCCCGGTTTCTCATTGAAACTAACCAAGAAAGGGTGCCCCATATAATATATGTTGACTAAAAGCCGGATAATTTACGCGGATAAATCCCTAAAGCCCAATCAAGGTGCGTCATTTGGGGAATCCCGGCATTTCCTGCAAAGGTGTGATTTGGGGAGAATAGATCAGCCCTATGGTGATGGACATTGGCTGAATCCTATCCAAGCAAAACGCTGTTTGTCGCGTGTTCTTTCTGGGATTCCTGCTGGGTATCACCGACACCATTCTGTCACTAAGGGTGTTGCTCTTGGATACTGATGGAAAATCTCACCATGGATGAAACCCTCTGAAAACTGGTTCATAATGAACCACCTACCAACTAGTGCCAGGCAGGGATTTTGTCCAACAAGTGACCACCTAAAACCAAGCATCCATGCCAACTGAGACCTGAGACAGCCACCTCTTCCCACTCCGCGCTGGCGGCCGGCGGCTCGGGCGCGCTCCTGTTGCCCCTCGGAAGCAAAAACCGTAAGGGTGTCCAGAACATGTGGGATTTCTGGAGATTTTAACCAAGATGGAGAAGGTTGTCTTGGTTCTGAGCAGAAATAACTGGGAGTGTTTGGGAATGAACCGTTTGGGATCACCTTGGAAACCTGATTCCCTCATTCCCAACCTTCTCTTGATTTTCCGATCAAGCCACCAAAAGTCCTGCTATCCCCTTCACCCACGAGCACTCGCAACCTCATGTTCTAAAGAGAAGGCATCGCAGAGGTGGAGTCGCCAAACGAGCATGTTCCTTGGTATTTGGCCTTCGGAGGGTTCCATGTTGGAAGCGAAGGCTCCCCCGTCCTTCGGCAAATGCACAAGGTAGCCCCCTGGCGAGGAAGGTGCACGCTCGCGTGGGAGTCTTTCCGCCAAGGGGCAACACGCGCATTGCGGATTCACCAAATGGGCAAAATGCGCATTGGGGATCCTGAATGGCTGTACACAATTCTGCACCAAGCAAAGTTAGGGGCCCAAATCTCTATCTGTCCTCTACAAGCCGGCTGTGGCGAACTCGATCACGATTTTGGTCCAAACCACACATCACTGGATCGGCAGGGGCTTCCTTTTGGAAGGCGGAGCTCACCTCTGGAGCCTTCAGGTTTCACCGACCGCCGCCGTTTCGGCCCGAATCATGATCCTTCCCAAACCGGGAACGAAGGGAACCCCGACTAAAGGAGCTTCGTCACGGCTGAGCTCGTTTGGCCCCTAGGTGAGCTCGTTCTGATTGCGCAGTTTGGAATCAAGAGTCGGCCCCTGACGAACTGGCTCGGCCTCTTCCAGGAATTCCGGTTGCTCGCAAAGCGGCCTAGGGGTGAGATATCGAATGTCCTCTTGAATCGAAGCCACCAAGGGATCCGTGTCCAAATCAAAACCTTGAAGCCCGGGCTTGAACGGGGAGCAACATCCAAGAAGCACCCCAGCGCCAAGCGCCGAATGTGCCATTTAATGGACATTCCTGCTGAGCTGTCCCCATTAACAAATCTACCAAACAGGCATAAAAGCAAGTGACCCGGCATCTGACAATCACTTGAGATGTCCACCCTATTGCAGAATCAACGGGAAACATGGCCTCCCTCAACAACACAGAGTGCGCAGCCAACATCCGCGTAGCCACTTATTAGGCCTTTTACCTCATGAGTGCAACCAGCCCGAAGTGCCCAAGGATTCATCAGCGCAAATCGGGTCATAGAGATGCGAACAATTGAGCGCTCAAGGTCGCATGGGACGCCTGTCAATGCCCCTTTCGCTTGGAGCACTAACAACCATGATCCTTCTTCTCTGGGCTACGTTTAGATTCAAGTGACACCCACACACCCAGATGCGTGTGGACCTTTTTTTGTTTGGGGCTCCATGTTAGTTTGCAGGGGAGGAATGGAGGAGCCTTCTGTTTGAGACACCCCAAGCCATCAAGCCCCGAAAAACGCAAAGCCCCCATGACCGCCGGTGGCCGGCGCTCGCATCACTCAGTGGGTCAAACTTTGGAGGGGTCTTATCCTTCCAACATCCACTTTACAAGCGAGTCCGCTAGCGCGTTGCTGTCATTGTTGCTGGGACAATTACCATAATTCTCCCGAAACAAGGGAATTCTACGCAATCTGTCCTATTTGTTGTCGCCAACTGTCAAGGGACTCGGCGGAGAAAACCCGATTCGTGGACACTTGGCGAATGTGAGGTAGCTCCATCCGCTTGACTCTGCCAAGTTTGGCAACGTGCATTTTTGCCGACGGACCCGGTTCTCCAACATGTGACAGCCTTTGGCCTTAAGACACTAGTCCTCAGCTTCCATTAGAATGGGTAGGGTTTAGGGTCTAGGGGTCAAGGCAGGCCCAGTCCAGAATTTCTAGTCCAAACAGGGACCACCCTGTGATCCGGTACTTTGAGCCCATGCAAACGACCCCAAGAAGAGACCCCGGAATTACTTGTGGTTCAAATTCCAAGCTCGTCCCCCTCCCAAGTGGGAGTGTGTCAAAATAGGGGGATCCCAAAAAATGCTGGATGGCGGTTTGCCTTTTGCTTTCCCTTTAAACCAGCCTGAAAAGGGCACCGAGCCTCAAAAAACACACACGCATCCCTATCAGGAATTATTCGTGGAACACCACACACGAAGGAACAAACACAACCCGCTGAGCTCGCCATAGACTCGGCCCCGCGAAGCGCTCGCTGAGCTCTGCCCGCCTGTCCAGCTGCAGCCTCTGCTCCAGCACCGTCACGGCACCCCGAGTCGAAGCCTCCCGCCCCAGGCGGTATTCGTCGCCCTCCTCGAGCTGGGCACCCTGTAACCCCGTCGACCAAAATGGTCCAAGGGTAGTCTTTTGGGGAAACAAGGCAAGGCATTGAAGGGAGGGGAACCAGTGTCTAAAAATGTTAAAACAGGCGTTTGGCCCAAACCTCCTCACATCTGATGCAAGGCATTCCAGTGCCAAGCTTTAATCAGTCCAATGGCGATGACTCACTGGCTGTGGAATCAGCCCTCTGAACCACCGGTTCACCCCGAAGGTGATTCAAGAGGGTGCCTCAGGCATGACAAAAGTGTCGGAGCGCCAAAGACTCATCACTTCACTCGAGCTGGCAAAAGGACCCCAACACCATAACAAGCTCACTCATTCAGACAGCTGTTTGGAACTTCGCATGAAGTGCGCAACTGAGGTTTGCCAACGCCAACAGTGCCAACAACGCCACGCGTGCCAGGAATGTCGCAAGTGTCACCGACTCCGCAAGTGCAAAACAATAAAACAAGAAATGCAACAACTGCAAGGCAAGCTGGCTCTGGCTGGTGATCAGTCCAATGGCGATGTCTCACTGGCTGTGGAATCAGCCCTCTGAACCACCGGTTCACCCCGAAGGTGATTCAAGAGGGTGCCTCAGTCATGAGAAAAGTGTCGGAGCGCCAAAGACTCATCACTTCACTCGAGCTGGCAAAAGGACCCCCGACACCATGACAAGCTCACTCATTCCGACAGCTGTTTGGGACTTCGCATGAACTGCGCAACTGAGGTTTGCCAACGCCAACAGTGCCAACAACGCCACGCGTGCCAGTAATATCGCAAGTGTCACCGACTTCGCAAATACGAATCTACGAAACAAGAAATGCAACAACTGCAAGGCAAGCTGGCTCTGCCTGGTGATCAGTCCAATGGCGATGACTCACTGGCTGTGGAATCAGCCCTCTGAACCACCGGTTCACCCCGAAGGTGATTCAAGAGGGTGCCTCAGGCATGAGAAAAGTGTCGGAGCGCCAAAGACTCATCACTTCACTCGAGCTGGCAAAAGGACCCCAACACCATAACAAGCTCACTCATTCAGACACAGCTGTTTGGAACTTCGCACGAAGTGCGCAACTAAGGTTTGCCAACGCCAACAGTGCCAACAACGCCACGCGTGCCAGGAATATCGCAAGTGGCACCAACTCCGCAAGT